GTGTCCGCAAGCCCTTATATCCTCCCTATATTTGAGATGCATATGAGGGTTTGCGGACAATCCGGACGTATAGGGATGATATGAGGGTCCAGTTAGGTCAATTTTTTACTACCTTTTACTTTTCTTTTTTGTTCGGTCAGTGATTCCTATGTCCGTCCGATTAATTTGAGAAGTCCGGCTGTAGATGCTCTAATGGCCACAGCGAGGCCGGCAGGCAGCTACGGTGAACTGAGGTCACGTTGACGCCGGTGAGGCGTCCAGCAGAGCTCGAACTGGCCCAGTTGAGCACCGCCTAGGAGGACTTTCGTTCGCCGCCAGTCAAACAAAGCCGAGAAGGACAAAACGGAAGCCCAACCAGCTGCGTACCAAGAAACGGCTGAGCCTACCATGGCCTCACACGTGGGGTCATGACACGTTCTGCCTCTTGGCCGCATGAGGCAACGGGTGACGCATGCGAATGTCAGCTTCCACTTCCAGGCATCCATTTGTCTCAAAAAAAAAAATACTTCCACGCATGCATACGTAGCAAAATACACAGAATTTTTCTTGGTCAAGATTTGAGAACTTATGAGGAAGTAGACTAGAGTGTCAATTCAATTCATAAACAAAGGTTGATTCTCAAAAAGAAAAATCATAAACAAAGGTTTACATATGTAATGTAAATACAAATGTATTGCTGATGCTTCTGCAGCTTGCCTATGTTTTACAGTTTTATTCAGACAGAATCCTACGTAATATATGTGTGTATTTCCTTTTGTATGTAGTATGTACAAAGTGCCAACTAGCGTAGACGTACGCGTGGGCAAAAATCACCAACAAACCAAGCAACGAATCCAATCCTACAGTCGATCACCAGAATCTACCACCGGGGTCGCCAAAAACACGTTGGAACTTCAAACACGAGAGGACGTACGCACGCCGGCCGAGCTGCGGCGCTCGGCCTCGGCCATCTACGGGCAGTGGACGTTTGGGCTGTTGGTGCCGCACGACGGGCCCGGCCCGCCCAGCTGCTGCATGTGCAGCCGCCGGAGCGCCTGGACCACGGTGGACGCGCCACCGTCCGCGGCCGGCAGCGGGGTCCCTCCGGCGGCCGCCCAGTCGGCGCCCCCCAGCGGCCGCGCCTCGCCGAGCACCGCCAGCAGCACGAGCACCGCCACGATCACCGGCAGAGCGAGCCTCATCCTCCTCACGGCGGCCATGTCGTCAACCTTAGCTTTCTTCTAACCCTCCTCTTTGCAACAAGTGTGTACGACTTGGACGCTGGGTCTTGGCAATGTGTGCAGGCAACTTTGTATGCTACGAGGTAGCTATATGGCCTATGGAATGGGTCGCGGGAGCCTATATATAATGCGCGCAGGAGAGGCGATCGACGAAGTTGCATGCCAGTTGCGTGCGGCGACTTGGTGTTTCGCGTTCGCGCGCAAGTTTGAAAAGTCAGTGGACGCGTAGGCGCGCGACCCGTCGATCGATCGATCGATATGGCGTCGTAGAATTCCATCAAAACGGTCCGTGTATACTCTTCTTCTTCGCACAATAGCTAGATGTAAGTCCTCTGAATTTAGAATTTAGGTCAATTGATTTCGCGTGAAGGAAGGAAGAGTTAGACGGAAGGAAGGAGCTCGTCGGAAAATGCTACCTCATTATTTATCTTAGGGGTGTGGGGATGATATAAGTTCATCGGAAAAAATTGGCCATTGTCGGGCTAGAAGGATGGTCGGAGACGACGGCAACGGCGGTGGGAGGCAGTTGAGGGGAGGGCGGGGAGGCGAGGCTGGCGTGCAAGCGCCGCCGGCCGTGGGCATGATGGCCGGCGGTTCGTCTGGTGGTACGTTCGGCTGGGGAAAGAAGAGCTGAAGAAAGAAGGGTTGTGTACCATTAGAGCATCTCCAACAGACGCCGAACGCGCCGCGTGCAAAAAACAGTTATAGCGCGCGCCCATCGCCTGATTTGGCGCGGCGCGCAGCGCTGGCTACAGCAGCCGCGCTAAAAATGCAGCGCGCGCGCGCCGCTCCAGCAACGCGTAAAAATGCAGCGCGCGCGACACGTATGGATGTGAGGGTGGGAGGTGCGAGCGAGCGCGCGGAAGCGGTTGCAGCAAATATGCGGCGCGCGATTGCGCTTTGGTCCGCGCGCTGGACTACGTATGTCGCGCGCGCTGTTTTCGCGCGCCCGCTGAAGCAACTATTCCGATTGCGCGCGCGCTAAAATAGAGGATTTTGCGGCGCGCTAAAATAGAGAATTTTGCGACGCGGCGCTAGTTTAGCGCGCCTGTTGGAGATGCTCTTAGATTTGCATTTAACGTGCCAAACGAATCGACTCACCCTAGTTTCATTTTTCTATCGACTTACCTGTAGCCACGCCCTCTTCTTTAGTGACTTGGCAATATTAGAACGGTGGGCATCGCGAGCGCTATATCTCGCCTATATCAAGATAAATATCTTGCTAACATATTCTAAAATCAACAGTGACCAGCCTCTTTTTTCAGGAAAAAAGGAATTCATTAATTAAGTGGCAGCCATGTCTGCATTACATAGATCCGGAACCTCGTCCGGCCCAGAATGAAGCCACACCGCAATGCACTTCTTTATTCGACCAAAGTTCGCTAAAAAATGACTAATAGTATTTTGTTCACGCCTCACAAGCTTAACTAATTTCCTCCGTCTGTACCTACTAGGGCAGCCAATTGTTGTCGTTTCTTAGCAATTTGATCGACCGAAACACCACTCGTTTCTTCTGGATTTTTTCTTTTTTCCTTTCCTTTATTTTCTGTTTTTGGTTTTCTCTATTTGTTCATCGGTTTTCTTTATTTTTTTCATCGGGCTTCTTTGTTTCGTACATGGTTTTCATTGCGTTTTTTCTTTTCGTTTTTCTTCAATTCTTTTTGGGCTTTCACTAGCTTTTCTTTGTTTTTCCTTGGTTTTCGCCGTTTTTCTTTATTTCTTTCTCTATTTTCATTTTTTGTACTGGTTTTCTTTGGGTTTTTTCTTTTCGTTTTTCTTTGATTCTTTTTGGGCTTTCACTAGCTTTTCTTTCTGTTTTTTTCTTTGTTTTTTCCTTGGCTTTTGCCATTTTCCTTTGTTTCTTTTTCTTTTTTTCATTTTTTTGTACTGGTTTTCTTTGGTTTTATTTTTTTCTTTCGTTCCCCTTGTTTCTTTTTGGTTTTCTTCATTTTTATTTCTTTCTCTTATTGGTTTCCATCGGTTGATCCTGTCCCTTTTCGTATAGAATAGGAACATTATTATACCCACTTAAAATTTTCCCTAAATAAGAAACATTTTTTATACACGTTGAACATTTTTTAAACACATGACTAACATTTTTTGCAAAGAAATATTTGTTATGTGAACTTTTTTTCATACACGTTCTACATTTTTGTATATATCAGGAATATTTCTAATACATACATTTAACAATTTTGTATTACAATATTAACATTTTAATACATATTTTTAAGTCTATTTCTTGCATACACATTGTACATTTTTTTATACATCATGAATATTATTTATATACATGTTTAATATATTTTTAATACATGATTAACATTTTTTACACAGTTTTTATGTCTAATGGTTTGTATACACAATTGTACACTTTTTGTATCATCGGGTATATTTTTTAAATACGTTATTTCCATACAGATTGTACATTTTTATATACATCAGAAACATTTTTGTATACACATGTAACATTTTGAAGATACATGATTAGCATTTGTTTTCAATTCTATATGTGAAGTGATTTTTAAATGGATATATCTAAAAATATAAGCAAAATGAAAACAAAATAGTAAAACAAGAAAAGAAAAAAGGTGAGGAAAAAAGGTGACCCGGGCTGGGCCGACCCATTCCGGGCGGCTGCTTGTAGCGAGGCTTCCCTATGTCTCGCTATACGCGAGACGAGGGCGCTCCGTGTGTCATGGCGCAGTAGCAAACTGCATGTGCGCACACACAGGGAAAAAACAATCTTGCTAGATACATAAAACCGATCTCACATCGAGGCATCTCTAATTGAATTCTCAGAAATTCCTTTGAGTCGGATTTTTTGCCCGCGCCATCCGTCCAGACGTATAGAAGGGGTTTGAAGAGTCCGGCTGTAGACGCTCTAAGTTGAAACACCGGCCGCCGACAGAAAGATGAGAATTGATGGCTGCGGTGAGGCCGGCAGCTGCTATCGTGGAACTGAGGCCATGCTGGCGTCCAGCGGGAGATCGAACTGGCCCGGGTGAGCACCGCCTACGACTTGTGTTCGCCGCCAGCCAAACCAAGCCGAGAGAGAAGGACAAAATGGAGCCGAGGTGCCCAATTACTTCCGAGAAACGGTTGACGCCACCGTAGGCATACACGTGGCGTCGTGAAAAGTTCTGCCTTTTGGCCCCATGAGGCCACGAGTGACGCACGCGAATGTCAGCTTCCACTTCCACGCAAGTGCAATGAAGGTCTCGGTAAGAAGAAAAACACTTCCAGGCATGCGTGAACGGTGAACAGGTGACACGTTTTTGTTGATCCACGAACCCAAATCAGAGCACATAACTTTCTTTTTTTTGTTTGAGTTAGAGTACATAACTGTGCTTTGTTAAGATTTGACAAATTATCACAAAGCATATATAATATGTATCACTTTATAGAGAAAGGTATATACATGTGTTGCTGGTACACTTTCGCAGCTTGCCTATGTTTTATTCAAAAACAAAAAGATCCTACCAAGTATACGAGTATGTTTTCTTCTGTACAAATCAACACCCGGCGAAAGCGAAAACCACGCGCGGGCAACGAAAAAATCTCCAAGAAACCAACCAACGAATTCAACCAATCAAACCATGTCGACCGCCGGCGGCTAGTCGGCCGGCCTAGCTAGCTAGGGAAAAAGAACATGCGCACACTGTGAGCCCGCCATCGCCGCCCGGGCTGGTCCGTCAAAAACAAGCTTGAACCCGAGAGAGGAGGGAGGGAGGGGGTGGTCGTGGAGGACGGCCGGGTCTCGCCGCCCGGCCTCGGCCTCTACGGCGGGCAGGGGACGTTGGGGCTGTTGGTGGTGCAGGAGGCGCCTGGCCCGCCCAGCCGCTGCGTGTACAGCCGCCGGAGCGCCTGGGCCATGGTCGCCGACGCGCCCGGCAGCGGGGTCCCTCCGGCGGCCGCCCAGTCGGCGCCGCCCAGCGGCCGCGCCGCCTCGCCGAGGACCGCCAGAAGCAGCAGCGCCGCCACGAGCACCGGCACGGCGAGCCTCATCGTCCTCCTCGCGACGGCCATCGATCCCGTCAACCTTGGCTTCCTTCTTCTCCCTTTAGAACAAGCTTGTAGGGGGCTGCACGACGCTGGGTTTTGGCAATGTCGTCGAGATGTAATTCTTCGACGAGGTGGTAGTAGCTTGGAATGAACGGGCGGCGCCTATATATAACGCAGGCAGGGGAGAAGAGGCGGTCGATGGAGCTAGCGAGGCGTGGAGACTAGGCAGGAAGTTGCATGCCGGTTACGTGCGGCGACCTGGCTTTCGCGCGTCCGTCCCGTTTGATGAAAAGTCAATATGCGCGCGGCACGCAGGGCCGGCGAGCGCGCGCGGTCGGTATCGGGCATTCCCTCGTAGAATTCCATCGTCGAAACGAAAGCGATCCGTTCTTCTTCCTACCCCGGCGGTGCGTTCGTGCGTGCGCGCGCGCATGGAGAGGTAGCAAACTGCGCGCGCACGAAGAAGCGTCGAAGGCACGAGCGTGTCGCACGTCTTGACCAGAGCATGATGCATGGGAACAAATGCGTACAATGTACCTGTTGCCTGCAGCAAAAATACATTTATATTTTTCTTGTAACAAACTTCCTTCTGTACAAATTCATCTGTACATATATGTTTTTTTAGGGGAGCTCCATATATGTTAACATACGTGGAAATGTGGTTTACTTTGACCAGGGAAACGCCTTGGGGGCCAAGGCACTAGGCAGGGGTCTAGTTTGACCTAGCGTTCAACAGGGACTGTGCGTACTTAATTTAGGGAGAAGCTTAATTTAGTTTGTCGTCGACACTGTGTAGTACTGGGGTCGTCTCCGATACGTGCCTGTCAACTGATACGGTCAAAACATTTGAATTCCGTCCTGAACTTGGCCTGAATTCTCAATGTTTATCCGGAGTCGATCCCACCCTAGCCAATTTCCAAGAAACTGCTCAAAACCTTGCCACCGTCTGTTACCATGCTCGCACCTTTTTCGAAGCATCTTACATAGTAGGAGTACGTGTGATAATTGTTAAGCTGCTCAAGCTACCTAGCTTGCAGGAGCAAAACTCGCATCTGTTAGTTGTGAGAGTTGAAACCGGCGGCCAGAGTTGAGGAGCGACACGGTTTCGGGCAAATGGCAAATTACATTCCTGCGTGCGTATGGTGCCACCGTGGAGATCTCCTAGTTGAAAAACACCGTACGTGTGTCGTGTGGCCGTGATTGTTTTTTTGTATTTGCAGTTACCTATAATGCAGTACGTAAAAACTATATTATGCTCTTTTCTTATCATTAACAAGTGATGGTGTCGATCCAACTTTGTCAAGACCCACGACCAGTTGAGAGGAAGAGATTGTGACTTGTAAAACTCTGTGTCCGACGCGCGTGAGCATGCGCCATGAATTTGCTGCACGGCCGGCCGTCTTTGACCTGCGGTGGAGTAGGTCGGAGGCAGGAAAAACACGACCAAGCTGTCTCAACTTCGGGGATCATCAGAGGAACTCTACCGCGGCCGGGAGAATTTTCTCTTCTCCCGAGGTAACTGTAGCAATCAATCAAATAATTGTACATCCTGGATGAGACAAGACTACGTAGTACGGTTGGGCCGGCCGGGCTCGATTCCAGCTTTGATGGAAGGGTGCTTTGGAGTGTCAATTCTTCATCACCGCCCTGCGCGACAGGTAACATGCTACTGGTCGCGTAACTACTTGCTGGTTGAATGCAAGTGCAACAGCGGCACTGCCTCGACTCAGCTGCTGAACACGGCCGGCGACGACCCAGCCAGAACATGGCATGGTTTAACTCAATCTCATCTCGGTTTGTGTTGTGTTGCTCCCTTGTCCCTCTCTCTGTGGTAGAAATTGCCGAGATCGCTTTTACCCGAGGCGTGAGAATGTGATTTCCCTATCGCCGACCACAGAAAGTTTCTTTCAAAATTAGAATAGCCCTAGACTTTTCCATGACTACATGTATGGTTTCCGCTGACTTCACATTGACTTTCGGTCGTACTATTAGAAGAAAACAGTAGGCAGGAGCAGGTCAGCATGGATACATCAAATTCATGGCTGTCGTCAACTGACTGACACCACCGGCACCCTCCGCTTCCTGTTCAATCAACACATGAGCGACATCAGTTCCAGCATTTTCTGAGAATGTTGCTCGGGACCATGGTTCATCACACCATTCATCCTCCAAGTTCAAGACCGTTTCCTGGGATATGTATGCGCAAATCTTCTTGCACTGTATAACTACAAGGTAGGTGTCATCAACGGAAGCATTTACATCATAAACGAGGCAATTATGTACGTACGCCTCTTGCCATCAAAATATTCGAGCTGGATCATTACCATGCTGCCAAACCTGACGCACAACTGCTCCTAGTACTTGTTAGGTCTGCTTTCAAGACTTTGGAACAGCAGGTGCCGCACTAGCATGGACCTGACGTAGGCAATCAACACAAGCGCTCCATTCTCTTTGACCTCTCGCGAACGAGTTTGAAAAATCATTGCGCGATCCATGGATCAGTCGATATGGCGTCGTAGAATTCCATCAAAACGAACCATGCATGCATCCGTCGTCTCCTTGACGGCCAGGTAATGTGATGGCACAATTTTGTGTGCCATGACGACCAGAGCAAGCGCTATATACATCCATGGCAAAGTGCCGGTGAGCTCGCGCAGCGGCCGGCCGTTTCGGTCAGCCGGCAGACCGGTTAGTTGGACCAAGCTCGCCGGCACGCGCGGTGCCGGTGCGAGCTCGTGAGTTCCGACGAGTGATGACAATGTAGTAGGAGTGTACGTGCTATATTTCCTTAAGATTAAGAAACAAAATCTTTTTTTTCATCCCTAAAAAGCTTCATTTCTGTTAAATTTTCTCATTCAAGATTTCAAAGTACCCTTACGAAGCGTATGGCTCCATACTACATATTTCAATCGCTCGTCCGGAGGGGCAACGAAAGCACTCCAGCTACGAGGAAGAATTATTATTATTATTATTATTATTATTATTATTATTATTATTATTATTATTATTATTATCAAGAGAGAGGAAATGGGGTTTGACCAGGAAAACGCCTTGAGAGCCAAGGCAGATTTGGGGTCTAGCTAGCTACTAACTCCATGGAGATCGATGGAGACGTACTTAATTAGGCCGGAAAGCTTTGCTTCGCCATCGGTTATGCGTGCTCCGGTCGTCCGTGACACGTACAGCTCCACTGTTACGGTCAAAATCAAAGCTCAGGAATTCCCTTTCCCTGCGCGCGCGCGCGTCGCGTTGCATGGAATTTTCAAGCATGCACGCACGCACGCATGCATTCAGCTCCGTCCTTGTAGTACCACGAACTTGGCCTGAATTTTCACGATCGACCGCACGAGCGGCGTGCTCGTCCAAAGTCAAAACCCTAGCTAACTTCCAAGAAAATGCTCAAAACTTGGCAAAAAGTTGGTTATGGGGTCACATTTTTCGCAGTGTCTTACGTGTGATAAGCCGCTCCGTCACTACTCCACATGGCTTGCACGAGCAAAACTCCACTTAGACGTAGTGTTTCTTATTTGGAATGCGCCGGAGTTCAAGGGCGACACGATATCTGGTAGTAAGTGGCATTAGCTACTGTTTGCCAGCTGACTCTGGTCTAAACTTTTGTCTTCACCACCATAGCTCAATATTTGACCCCATAGCTAAGGCCAAGAATGTGCTACAACTGCAATTTATTTTCCATGCTAAATGTAAATTTGGGTTTGATGATGTGCAAGCTCAGGTGGCTGAGATTCATGAGAATTTTCGGTGCCGTTCTGCTAGCATAACCATATTTAAAGAATTGTTATGCTTGCATGTTGGCAGCACAAGAGCAACCTACGACCATTTCCTGGGAGAGGAGATCGTGACTTGTAAAACTCTCGGTCGGAAGCGCGTGATATGCCATGCCATGCCATGGATTTCAACGCTCCGAGAGAATGCTGCTCCGCTGATCATCTTGACTCGCCGTTGCCGATGCAGTAGGTCGCAGGCAGGAACACGGACCAAGTTGGCCTCAACCAACTTGGCCTTGGCGAGATGTAGAATTCTACTGCAACTTGAAGCATTTTTCTTCCGAGAAAACACTAGAGTGTACAGCAGCAATCAATCAAGCGACCTGGAGTCAATTGCCCTGGATGAGACGGCACTGTGACTGTGTCACTGTTACTGGTGACCGGACCAAGTTCCGGCTTCAAGGACGGGCAGCAATATTTAAGCAGTGATGATAGCATGTGAACAATGCAGGTTAGCCATGGACTCAGTACTAGTCTTGCTTACTACTAGTTGAATTCTTCGTTACAATCACGACTCAGTACTATGCACCCGCTTAAGAGCTAGTCTAGTAGAGCCCTCAAACCTTTAAACCCTTAAAAATAACTGTTTTTTACAGTCTAGCCAACCGCGCGAAGCTTATGGATCAGAGGAGAGGGTCGAAGATGGGGCGACTCACCATCTACCGGAACCGCGCTCTCGGACACGAGCATTTGATGCAAGACTACTTCGCGGAGGTACCTACATATCCTCCTCGTCTCTTCCGCAGAAGGTACCGAATGCGTCGTAGTTTGTTTGTGAAGATTGTCACCGATTGTGAGGCCGCCTCCGATTACTTTAAACGTCGCAGATCCGCCGCCGATATCATGGGGTTTAGTGCATATCAAAAGATATCGGCGGCAATGTGGGTACTCGCTTATGGCATACCCGCGGATTATACCGACGAGTCCGTCCGTAGGTTTGCCAAGTTGGTCATCCGGTTGTATGGTGAGCAGTATCTTCGGGCACCAAACGAGGAAGATACAAAGAGATTAATGGAAATGAATGAAAAAAAGGGATGGCCGGGGATGCTTGGTAGTCTTGATTGCATGCATTGGAGGTGGAAAAATTGCCCAAAGGCATGGCACGGAATGTATTGCAGTAAAAGCCATGATGCTATCATTGTGCTTGAGGCCGTAGCATCGGAGGACACATGGATTTGGCATGCATTCTTTGGGTTGCCGGGAACACTCAATGATATCAATGTCCTCAATAGATCTCCT